CAGAGCCTCCTCAAAGTTCGACCGACACCCTGGGGGGTCCGGGGAGGGCTTCAAGGGAGGAGTCCATACAGGCAGGAGGGCGACAGGTATAATCACCTGGCCCTGGCACCAAACCACCCAACAGAGGGACACTGACCTCCTGAGGAGAGCTGGTCCCAATATGGGTAAAGGAGTCACAGCGACCAGCAAAAGCTGCCCCTACCCTTGGGGAGTGCACTGCACAAAAAATCACAGTGGCTCCAGGACAGCAGTCATGGGCGAACAAGGACCTGGTGCCATGTGAGCACTAGCCTTGGGCCTCCCACCTCACCTCTTCCCTGCTGAAAGCTGCCCGTGGCTCCCCAGTGCCCAGGAGAGGACAAAGTTCCCCAGCTGGCACCCCTGGGCTTTGTCTCTTGGGCTCTCTGCCCTTCACACTCACTGGTGCCCAAAGGACCCGGCAGCTTTGAGCCCCACATCTTCAGCCACTTGTCTGCTCCTCTACCCTCCTCCACTTATCCCTGCTCATTTATCCTGACCATCAGCTTCTCACCCCTTAAACTACCACCCCCTCTCTGAAGGCTTTCTTGGCCTCATGCCACCTGGCTCCAGGCAGAATGGCCCACTCCTCACCCTGGGCTCCTAGCTAATTCCTAGCATTCCCAATTACTCGGGTTGGTTCACCTGTATAGCTCCCCTACCCTTGGGTCTTACTTATCTCTGTAGCCCTTTAAACTCTCAGGCGCTCCAGCACTAACAGGTTTTCAATAGGTGCTGGGAGATTTCAGGACAGAGCAGCAAAGGGTGAGAGAGGACACCGTTTCAGGAGCCAGACCCGAACTGAATGTTAACTAAACATACTAGTCTGCTCCAGCAAGTTACTGATAACTTACTTGAGCCTCAGTAACTCCTCTGTCAAGTGGGAAGTCCACTGCCCAAGCATACCTGGAAGTGCTCCCTCTGATGCCTGGTGCAGGGTATGGAGCCACCCGCCCCCTCCTTGCCTGCTGGCGAGTAGTTTTGATTTGCATTCCCTGAAGCTTAGTGAGGGGGAGCCCCCTGTCTTGTGCCCTTTGGCCAACTGTTTTCTTTGGGGAAATCTCTATCCAGATCCTCTGCCCATTTTTAAATCAGATTGGCGTTTTGCTATTAAGTTTTAGGAGTTCTTTATATATTGTGGATAGTAATCCCTTATCAGAGATATGGATTTTCAAATACGTTCTCACATTCGATAGGTTACCTTTTCATTTTGTTGGTGGTTTCCTGCTGTACAGAAGCTTGTGAGTTTGATGGAATCCCACTTTTTCATTTTTGCTGTTGTTGCTGCTATTTTTGGTGTGAAATCCATAAAGTCGTCACCAAGACTGATGTCAAGGGGCTTATCACTTCTGTTTCTTCTAGGAGGTTTATGTTTTCAGGTCCTATGCTTTTCATCTTAAGTCTTAACCTCCTGAGCCACCCAGGGGGCCCCTCTTTAATCCATTTTGGGTTAATTTTTGTTTATGGCATGAGATCATGGTCTGATCTCATTCTTTTGCATGTGGCTGTCCAGTTTTCCCAACACCATTTTTTTTTATGATAGACATAGAGAGAGAGAGAGAGAGAGAGAGAGAGAGAGAGAGGCAGAGACACAGGCAGAGGGAGAAGCAGGCTCCATGGCGGGAGCCCAACGTGGGACTCGATCCTGGGACTCCAGGATCGCTCCCTGGGCCAAAGGCAGGCGCCAAACCACTGAGCCACCCAGGGATCCCCTTCCAACACCATTTATTAAAGGGACTGCCCTTTCCCCGTGTATATTCTTGACTCCTTTGTCATAAATTAATTGACCATAAGTGCTTGGGCTTATTTCTGGGTTCTCTCTTCTATTTCATTGATCTATGTGTCTGTTTCATACCAATGCCATACTGTTTTGATTACTATAGTTTTGTGATGTAGTTTGAAATCAGGAAGCCTGATGCCCACAGCTTTATTCTTTCTCAAGATCATTTTGGCTATTCTGAGTCTTTGCGATTCCATACAAATTTTAAAATTCTTTGTTCTATTTCTGTGAAAAATGCAACTGGAATTTTGATAGAGATTGTATTGAAGCTACAGATTGCTTTGGGTAGTACAGACATTCACCCATAACTTCTTATCATGGCCCAATCCAATGCCTCCTAAAACTGCACTCCCTTCTTAGCCTCCACCCCCCCATCACCCCAGTCAGAAGACAGGTCTCTCCCCTGAGGTCCTCAAGGATGCACATGGCTCTGGGCAGGACTGCTTTGAATTGCCAAGTCTCTTCTGTGGTCCTACCTACCTTAGGATGTGAGCTCCTTGAGTGAAGAGGACGGCCTTTGACATCTAGTGTGTGGAACTTTCATATGTTGAAGCCCTAACCCCCAATGTTACTATATTGAGAGATAGGGCCTTTAAAGAAGTAATTAAGGTTACATGGAGTCATAAAGGTGGGGTCCTTGTTTGATAGGATGGGTGTCCTTGTAAGAAGAGGAAGAAACACCTGAGGTACTTGCCCAGCCCTGCCCAGCGCCAGCACAGAAAAAAGGCCATGTGAGGGCACAGCGAGAAAGCAGCCATCTGCAAGCCAGGAAGAGAGTTCTCACCAGAAACCAACCCTGCTGGCAACTTGACCTTGGAATTCCAGACTCCAGAACAGTGAGAAAATAAATTTCTGTTGTTTATGCCCTCCAGTCTGTGGTGTTTCATTATGGCAGCTCAGACTAATAGATGTGGGGGCTCAGGGAAAGGGTGCTGGGGGGGGCATGGGGGGCACCACACAAACCATCCAGCATGTGTGTTCTTGAGCCCCTCCTGACCCCTGCCCAGCTGTGTGCAGGGCAGAGGGGCTCCCAGACCCTGGCCTCCACAAGCCCAACCAGAACAGGAGCCTGTGGTCTGGACTTTTGCCCTAGCCGTGAGGAGACAGTGGCTAACAGTGCCCGTCATGGTGCCAGGAACTGGGAGCAAAGAACCAGTACCTGAGCCACTCCTCTAAGTTGTACTCTCTGCTGGCTCAGCGCCCATTTACTGGTGGAATCCCACAGCCGCCCCTCCAGAGAGGAGCATCTGAAGCTGGGAGAGATGGAGGGACTGCCTATTTTGACCCCACCACCGGGGTAGAGGGGGACAAGACACAGGCAAAGGGGAGAGACAGTCAGAGCCTCAGAGAAACTAATCCTCTCCCAACAACCTCCGTCCCAGGAGATGTTGGGGCCCATACAAGAGCCAAGAGCCGGGATGCATTTGGACAGAGCTGCGGTGAAGGGTCAGCTGTACCTGCGTCTGACATCCCTGCACCTACTCAGGCTGCAGGCCTGTGCCCAGGCCTCCAGACAAAGAGCGTGGGAGTGATTCCATTTGGAAGGTGAAAAATGCTTCTGTTGCAATCATCACAAAGTGCACCAAAGTGGCGGGCAGGATTTCCAGAATTGGGCTGTGCTGAGTGGACTCCCAGCCGCACAGCTGAGCACAGAGCAGAGCCCTGGTGTCTGATAGGGCCATGGAGGGCACAGTCCCACCACCGGCTCATTACAATACAGTGAAGGGCTTGGGGAACATGTTGAGAGCACCAGACTCATCACCAACCCCTGGGGGCTGGAACCAGGGAAAGGCCACATGTTTCAGGAAGAGACAGCAGGCAGCTGGGAGGAGGTAAGGTCCTGGGGTGTGGGCAGCCTTGTTGGGCATTGACGGTGGGGAAAGCACTCCCCTGCCTGGAGCTGATGGGGAAGTAACTTCGGGCTGTAAGCTGGGTGTCCAGACTCCTTCCTGGGCAGAGAGCAGCAGATAATCCAGCTGCAGACCCTAAGCCAGCCCCTGCCCCAGCCACTCAGTCAGTCCCCTAAGGCTGCCCACACGCACGTATGCATGCTCATTCCTTCTTATGGGTGTTTGTAATGCTGGTCCCTCTTCTAGAAACACCTTTGCCCACCTTCTTCCAATCACACCACTGTGTCCTCACGGGAAGCGTCTGTTGGCAGGCCCGGCTCCCCCACCTAACATCTTGAAGCAAGATCCTTTTTCTCTCTGTGTTCTTGGACCAACAACAGTGCCTGGCACCTAGTCCTGGACTGTTGGCTTAAATCATGGTGAAGTTAGTAAAGGAAGGTCTAGTTTCTAATCCCAACTTCTGAGACACTGAAACAACTGGCCATAGCACTTAACTTTTCTGAGCTTCAGTTTATTCCTCTGGAAATGGGGGTAATGTTCCCTGCCCATATATTTGTGAGGATCAAATGAGCGAGCAATGGGATTGGTCTCTGGTGTGGCAGCAAATATAGGCACAGGGAGAGTTTAAGAAGTCAGCATTGCTGTTATAATAACTGCTCACAATGTTGCTTCGGATCATGACCTCCATCCTCTGGATCTCCCCTCCTTCCTCCAGATTGTCTCTCCACCCCCCAGGATTGCCAGATTTTGCCCTAACCCAGTCCTATTATCTGCTGGAAGGTGAAGCCAGCCCCCCTTCCTTCCCACCCACTTCATCTCAAAGATTTCGTATGACCTCAGAAAGTCCTTCCAGAAGTCTTCCCCACATCCTTCCTGTTGCAGCCCTGCCCGCGTCACTCCTCATATGTCCTAAAAGCACAATCCTGAGTAGGAATCTCCCAGGACCCCAAATATCCTTTTGAAGTTGACATCCCCATTGCTGCTGCTCAGAACAAGCTGAGGGGGAGACAGAGAGGGAGGCAGGGAGAGGAAAGGTGGTCCCAGATTGCAGTGAGGGAGTAGAGGGAGAAACAGGAGGGATGGAAGTCAGACACCAGGCAGGACCTCCCAATACCCAACAGCCAAGGGCAGAATGACACAACTACCCACCACCACAGCATCACACCATCACCACCTTCAGCTGCCTGGCTTCCGGAGGAGGGACAAGTGTCTTACGGCTTTCCATGACGTGGGTCCTCTGCCAGGGTTAGGGCTGTGGGTAAGGCGACATTTCCTGCCCTCGGGGGCTGGGGTGAGAGAGATGAGTTGCTGAGTGTGCACATCTTTTGAGAACACATACACACACCCTGCTCCAGGGGCTCAGTTCCTAGCCTGGCCCCATGGAGCTCCCCCTGGCCCAGATCTGTCCCCAAGGTAAGTGCAAAGCCTGGATGGCGGGTGGAGGGACATCCAGACCCTCAGATCCCCTGCTGTCTCCAGGCCTGAGCTCCTACTTCAGGGGTGAAGGACCCACCCCAAGCCAGAACTGGCTGGGCAGATGGGCAGGGAGCCTACAACTACTTTTCCCGGCGCCAGTCAGCTCAGCCCTGGGGACATAGGTGGCAGGGTCTGCTGAGCGCTCCTTAGCAGAGGGAGGGCGATGAGCAGAGGATCTGGAACATAAAGAGCAGAGATCTGCCCTGAAGAGACACACAACCCTACCCCCTCGCTGCACCCCGCACCCCACACCTGCACTGTGGGGCTCTCTGCTTCCCCATGCCCATCTCCCTGCCAGCCCGTGCCTCCTGGACTCCTTACTCCTCCCCCTTGAGAGACCCCCAGTTGGCACTGTCCCTGTCCTCTCATCAGAGGCACACAGAGCTCCTGGGAGCCTGGGGGAGAGGTAGCCCCTCACCCAGACACCCCCCCTCTTCCCCCCCCACCCCATCCTCTTTGTGCTAACAGGAAATGGCAAAGCCCCTGACCCTACCTTCAGCACCTTCCAGCCCCTGGAGCTGCCCCGCAGGAGCTGCCAGGACCTGGGCTTGCTCCAGGGGCCCAGGCTCCAGGCCCTGAAGGCTGAGGATGCCCAGCCCAGCCCCAGGGTCCCAGCTGTCCACACTGTGGTAAGGGGAAACCCGGCTGGCACCACTTCCTCCTTGGCTCCCCTCCTCCCATCGGTGAGGACTTGAGGGTAGATAAAGGCCAATAGGGGAAAAGCGGGAATGATCTGGGGCTGCCTATAGGGCTAGGGCATGGAAGGAAGGAGGGAGGGAAGGGAGATGGGGAGGGAGGGAAGAAGGGAGGGAGGGAGAGAGAAGATGGGGAGGAGCGAGGGAGATAGGGAGGAGAGATGAGGAGGAGGGAGAGGAGATGGAGAGAAGGGAGAGGAGATGAGGAAGAGGGAGGGGAGATGGGGGGCAGGAGGGGAGATGGGGAGTACCTCCTTCATTCATTGCATTGTCCCCTTACCATCCCTGGGATGCACAGGCTGAGTCTGAGGGTGACCAGGGTACAGGGTACCAAGTCCCAGAAGCAGACCTCTGCATCTCTGTCCCTGGCTTTCACCTGCCCAGTGCGTCTGGGCCTCCGTCCCTCTCACCCACAGGGCCATTAGAAAGTCCTCCCTATGATCCAGCCCAGCCCCTCCCACAGGAGGCTGAGTCCTCCCTCGTCTGTCCTCTGGGGTGAGAGGTTGTAGCATCATCTCCCTGATCCTGCAGGCCTGTCCTTCCAGAAGCCTCACACTCAGGTTAAGAGCTAACTGCTACTGGGTAAAAGGCCTGCAAGCCCAGAGGGAAGTGGGCAGAAATTCCCTGGAAAAAAAAGCAAGTGCAGCTGAAGAAGGGGTTTTAAGCTGGACCCTGAAAGGCACCTCCTGGGTAGTTATAGCCTAGAATGGGCAACTGGGATGGGGAGCAGGGGTGAAGCTGCAGAGGTGCAGCTGGCTGACGGTCAGGAGGAAGCCCATACATCATGGCTAACTCCCCCTCCTTGAACCTTCCCCCTGTTTCAGGCATCTCCTCAACCCCGAGAAGCTGCCTCTAGCCCAGAGGATGCCGAGAAGGCTGATGAGGTGTTTGGGGAAGGAGGCCAGTCCCTGCAGGCCGAGACCCGGGCTTGGTTCCAGAAGACCCAGGCCCACTGGCTCCTGCAGCACGGGGCAGCCCCAGCCTGGTTCCACGGCTTCATCACCCGGAGGTGAGTCACAGAGGTGGCGGAAACAGGCCCAGAGAGGGGCAGGGCAAGTCCTGGGGCCCAGGCCCAGCAGAGTGTGGGGCTGCGAGTCCAACCATGAGTCCTGGAGGCTCCCAGGCCAGTGTCTGAGGCATCTGTCCTGGGGGAGGTCACCAGGGAGGCTACAGGCCCCCCTCCCCCCCCTCTGGATTTCAGCTTCAGCTCCTGTCTCTGGCCCTCCAGACCTCATGGTTTCCCCCCCACACCTCCCACACCCCACCCCCAGATCTCCTGACCTTTCTGCCTCACCAGCCTCTACTCTTCCTTGTCTCTCTGGTAGGCCCTTCCTCCTGCATCCCTCAGCTTTGCCTCCTCTGCTCCAGTTCAGCCTGTGATCTTGGAAATCTACAAGTCTCTTGCCACCCCAAGGCACCCCCACCAGGCTGTCCTCTAGGATGAGGCAGGGCTGAAACCTCTCCTGGGTGGGACCTCTGGCCCCTGTGTTCTCCAGGCCCTGCACCTGGGAGCAGACCCCACTTCTCTCTGCTATCTTCTTCACCCTTCTACAACACCTGAGTCTGCTTGGTTGGGGGTTGGGGTCTGCCTTGAGAGTCCAGGACAGGCCAGAGGCTGGAGAAGTCTTCTCCACCACCCACAGGGAGGCTGAGAGGCTGCTGGAGACCAAGCCTGAGGGATGCTACTTGGTGCGGTTCAGTGAGAGTGCTGTGACCTTTGTACTGACCTACAGGTGAGGGGGCAAGAGCAGGGGCAGTGCCCTGGTCATCCCAGCGGGGTGGGCTGGGTGCTCCTGATGCAGGAAGGGCAGGGGCCAGCCGGGAAGGAGAGAGACCCTGGCCTGGGTGGCTAGCCAGGCCTGAGGTGGCTCTGATCCCATGGGTGCCCTCCAGGAGCCGGACTCGCTGCCGCCACTTCCTGCTGGCCCAGCTTGGGGATGGGCGCCACGTGGTGCTAGGTGAGGACAGCGCTCACGTGAGGCTGCAGGACCTGCTGCGACACTACACAGCGTGCCCGCTCAGCCCCTATGGGGAGACACTCACCGAGCCCCTGGCCCGCCAGGTACCCCCAGCCCCTGGCCCCAGGGACCCTGGCCACCACCTCATCCCCCCCCTGCGATGCAGCCATAGGTCTCTTGTCCACCCTGTGCCCCTAGGATCCCCTCGAGTGCTGGGGAGGGGTCCTTCACAGATGAGCTCAGCCACACAAAGACAGCAGGCACATGGGGTCATTTGTGTTTTCACGTAAGGACTATTTACTGAGTACAGGGCTACAGGGCTACAGCACAGTGCTCGTGCTGGCAGGCCCTGGAAATAGAACCATGAACAAGACAGGCCCCGGCCCACAAAGCTCACTTACCAGCAGCAAAGACAGATGAATAGGAGCAATCAAGTGTGAGAAGAGAGGAAATGCAGAGTGAGTGCCACCAGGGCCTGTGTGGCAGGGAGCACACCAGGGAGTGCCTCCCCCCAGGGTGGTCAGGCAGTCCGAGGACACAGGTGCCAGCCAGTGATCAGGGTCTGGCAATACAGCAGGAACAACTGACCAGAACAACCCTGCCTTCTGGACCTTACATTCTAGTGTGGAGACAGCGCTCACATAAGACAGAGAAACAGATAATCTGTAGTATGTCCAGTAATGATAAATGCATGCTAATAAGACAGGGAGTGACAGGGTTGGGGTTGTTTTACACAGGGACACCAAGGAAAGCTACTCTGGTAAGGAGATATTTGAAGGGAGGCCTGGATGAAGTAAGGGAAGGAGCCATGCAGGCAACTAGAGGAAAAACCTTCTAGGCAGGAGGAACAGCAGGTATAAAGGTCCTGCAGTAGGAAGCTGCCCGAAGTGTTTGAGGAAGACTGACAGCAGTCAGGAAACTAGCATAGGTGGATGAATTGGACACGAGAGCAACGATGAAAGAAGGGAACCCTGTATGTAGACTCTCACATGGATTTCGGATTTTATTCTAAGTGAGGGGGGATGGCACCACACAGGACTGACATGATCTGGCAAGTTTGGGGGTGGGGTAAGGAGGACAGACAGAGAAACTACAATACTTCAGGTGAGCTGGTGGCCGCCTGGGCTAGGGTGGCTGAGGTGGAGGCAGAATGCAGGGTGTGGAGTTTTTGGTTTTGATTTTTTTTAAGCTTTTATTAAATAAAAGCTTTTAAGCTTTTATTTACTTATTTTATTTTTTAAGCTTTTTTTTAAGAGACACAGGCAAAGGGAGAAGCAGGCTCCACACAGGGACCCCATGTTTATTGGGGGAATCGATCCCAGGACTCTAAGATCACGCCCTGGGCCAAAGGCAGGCACTAAACCACTGAGCCACCCAGGTATCCCCCTTTTTTAATGGGGATGTTCAGTAGGCAGTTAAATATGTGGGTCTGGAGCCTGGGACAGAGGTCTGGGCTGGAGATAAACACCTGGGAGTCATCAGCATATAGAAGGATTGATTGTCAAGCTTTCAGGAGGGCTGAAACTTGGGAACTCCCCAGGAACTTGGGAGGGAGTGTCAATGAACAAGAAGGGAATACCAAGTCTCCAGCATTTAGAGTTTGCAGAAGGGAGAGCAAACCTATAAAGAAAATTGAGGGCAGCCTGGGTGGCTCAGCGGTTTAGCGCTCCCTTCAGCCCAGGGCCTGATCCTGGAGATCCAGGATCAAGTCCCATGTCGGGCTCCCTGCTTGGAGCCTGCTTCTCCCTCTGCCTGTGTCTCTGCCCCCCCCCACCCCGCCCCGTGTCTCTGTGTCTCTCATTAATAAATAAATAAAATATTTAAAAAAAAGAAAAAGAAAATTGAGAAGGATCAGCCAGGGAGAGAAGAGAAAAACCAGGAGCATGTGATGCTCTAGAAGCCAAGCAAAGAAAATGCCCCAAGGAAGGGCATGCCAGTGGGTCCCAAACTGACCACTGGCCTTGGCCAGGAGGAGCTCACTGGTGGTACTGGCAGGAACGGTTTCTCAGGCTTGACTGGAGTCAGTTCAAGGAAGTGTGCCTGTGGGCAAGTCTTGTGTGGACCTTCACCAGGAATGGTGGACATGAAGATCCCCAGCAGTGGGCACAGGGTGCAGGGAAGTCTGGAGGTGAGGGGAGCCGATGCACTGGAGAGCTGAAGGCAGAGCTGTCAGGTGCCGGCTCTACAACCAGGTCTCAAAGGGTCTTGTCCCAATACTCCTCTGGAGTTTGGACTTCCCCCTGGAGGACCGGCAGCTGCTGAAGATTGCCAGGGGAATTTCTTCAGCTCACCCTGGCCGCCAGTGAACAATGGGTTGCAGACCAACATGAGGCAGGGGAGGACTAAGAGGCCTGAGCTGGGGTAATGGTTATGGCACACAGAGAGGGGAGCAGGTGTCAAGTTGTTGAGGCAGCGGAAGGAGCAGGGCTGGGGCCCCATAAGATGAGTTGGGGGGTGGCTCCTGAGAAGCTGTCTCAGCATCAGGGTGAGGGTGCTGCCTTTTTAGTCACAAAAGGAATGCAGAGAAAGGAGGTGGTAGGGGCAGGGAAAGAGAATTCTGCCGTGGATCCAGAAAGCCCGCAGTACTCGCACATCTCCAGATGCGGACACGCACTTGGTGGACACGAGAAGCATGAGGAAAGCCTTGTGGCCTGAGTCTACAAGAAGCCCTGGGCATGTGCACAGCTAGGCTGCTGAGCTAAAGCCCAGCTATCATGGAAAGGGACCTTCCCACGGTCAGGGTCATCTTCCTGGAGGCTGTCTCTCTGCCCCTCAAATGTCCAGCTTAAACCTCCAAGGAGTACTCCCCCGCTCCTGCAGAAATAAACAGATGGGACAGTCTTGGAGATCTGTCCCCATGCTGAAAATATTTAGGCTCAAGACTTCTGAAGTCATGTTGCATTTTTACAACCACAGGCACAAATGCAGACTGGCTGTGTTCCCGGTGGAACTGAGGTCAATGCTAGATACAGCCTGTGAGCTGAGCTGCTTTCCACCCTGCCGTGGGGCCCCCTTACCATCTCCAACCCTGCTCCTCACCCAGGGAACCCAAGGGGTCCGAATCCCTGTGGCCCTCCCCCCACACACCCTGCACCAGCACCAGCTGATTGTCTCCCGGATGACCTGGCCACCTCCACCCACCATCCCTCCTGCACCAAATCCCTGAGGCTTCCTTTCCCTGCAGACTCCCGAGCCTGTCGGACTTTCCCTGAGCACTGAAATGCCGGACTCTGGAAACAAAAGCCAGGACTCACACCCTCAGTATGGCTTGATCCTCAAAAAGTTGCAGAACGTAACCCCCACGCAGAAGGAGGGGGCCGGGGAGCCCAAGGAGGTATTGGGCTGGGGGGGGGGGGCTGAGGGAGGGCAAAGGGCGGGTCCAGCGCGGGGCGGGGCCGAGGACCCGGGGGCGGGGCCTCCAGGACACCCGCTGCAGCCTCAGCCCCGCCCGGTCGCTCTGACGCCCCCTCCCCTCCGGCCTGGCCTTCTCTCCCAGTCTCCCCAGCAGCCCAGGCCCAAGCCTCCCTTGCCTGCGAAGCCCCAGCTGTCCCCCGAAGTCTACACAAGCCCGGCTCCGAAGCCCCGCCCGGCCCCGCCCCCCAAGCCCTCCCATCCCATCTACCAGGAGCCCGACGAGCCCATCGCCTTCTACGCCATGGGGCGGGGCAGCCCCGGGGAAGCCCCGTGCAACCTCTATGCGGAGGTGGAGATGGAGGTCCCTCCTGGGGCCGGGGGGCCACCCTGCGTCCTCGGGCACCGGGCCCTGCGAAAATGCCGGTCCAGGCCTGTCCCAGGAAGCCAGGTAAAGCAGTGCCCAGAGAAGGAGGACCGTGGGGAGGACGTCCTGAAAGCCAGACTGGGGAGGATAGTGAAGGTGTTCGAGTGGATGCCGGGGCCAGGGTGAAGGTCCGAGATCGCTGGGCAAAGAGAGACTCCGGGCTGCCAGGAGCCCAGAAGCGGCTCCCTGTCTTCGCCCTGGGGTCACTGGGACAAGCCTCCCCTCTGTCATCCCTCTCCACTTCTCAGGAGAAATAGTGGTCCGCCCCTCTCACCCAGACACCCCCCCCCCATACCAGGAATCTTGGCTCCAGCCATGTCCTCTCTTCCTCATTGGAACTTGGGCCTCTCCCACTCTGGCTCCCTCCCCTCCCCCTTCACAGCCTGAGAGCTGGGAGCACTGGGAGTCCCTCCTGTTGTCTCTGATGAGCTCAGGAGAGGGAGCACCTGCTCTCCTGCTCCTCCACACACTCCCTTTGCCAACCCTCACCCCCACCCCGCACCTCTTCAGTCCTCTGATGAGTGCAAACCAGTGTCCCAGTCCAGGGCAGCGTGACACCTCCTGGCCACCTCCACCCTTTCCCTAGGCCTCTGCCCCCTCTACAGGCTGTTCCCCACCCTCCCTGCGATGCCCCAGACCTGCCTCAGCCCTTAAGCCTGTCTCCCCACCCTCACCCCCAGCTTGGGCACTAGAGATGAACCAGCAGCCCACGTCTCCACTCAGCCCCCAGTACCCCACAGCCTCCTGAAATTGGCACAGCAGCCCACTCTCACGCTCTCACCTTTCTGCCCAGACTGCCCCTCCTCTGTTTCCCAGCCAGAAGAATGACTCTCCAGCCACCTGACTATCCCAGCCAGAACCCCAGGGCTCCCTCGACATTCTCTCTACCCTGACTCCTCATAGGCCTCAGATTCCTGCTGGGTCCCTCCCCCCACCCCCACCCCCGCAGCTGCAGCCTCAGCATCCATCATCAGGATTTTCCAAGCTTCCTAACTGGTCTAACCACAAATCTTGCCATTTCTGATTTACTCTGCCCCAAGGAAGCCAGAATGGTCTTTCTAAAACAGCTAGCTCAGGGTGCCTGGACGGCTCAGTTGATTAAAACAGCTAGCTGGCCCATGCGGCCATCCATACTGGTGCAGGCAGAGGACCTCCTCGTCAGCCCCCCACCAGCTGCTGCCATCTTCACTAAGCTCTTTACGTCTCTCTGAGCACACCTCCCACTGCCCTAGCCATCCTTCAAGACAGTTTGTTCTTCTGTTCCCTGCAGATTTCCCAAACACAACCACAGTGGCCATCCCCCTGTGCTACATACACACCTGCCACACATACCACTGATCACCTGGGACACCCAACTCCACTGGTTCCCGGGAGAGTGCAAGCCCCCTGAGCAGGGGCTGGGACTTAGTCATCTGTTTCCAGAGCACCCAGCACAGTGCCTGCCACAGAGCTGGTCCTCAGGAAACGGTTGTTGAATGAATGAGAGCAGTTTAGGCCTCCTCTGTGCAGGCCAACATGCATTAAGACCAGAGGACAGCCCTTGAGGCTGCAGGTAGGCCTGAGAGGTGAAGGGTAGAGGGCGTGACCTAGGATCACCCTTCTCTCTGCAGAATCCAGGAGCCTGGCGACCACAGTCTGAGAACTCTGTGACTGGACAAGGCCCTCCTGTGCCCCACCAGCCTCTGCCCTGCTGGGGGCACACCCTCCCTCACAATCTTTCTAGACAGAGGACAGAAGAAGACAAAGGACAGGTGTGGCTTCCCCTGGGGCCTCCCCAGTAGCACGGTGAGTCTGAGCTGGGGGAGGATAACCTAGAACCCCAGGTGCTCTTCTCAGGAAATGTGCATGGAACAAACCATAGGCAATCAGACTAGAAAGGACCTCAGCCATCATCTACTGCAAAGATGGCACAGAGGTGTCATCTCACATGCCAACTGCCATCCATTGGTCGCGGCTGCCTAGAGCTCTGCGCTGTGAAGGATGTTCAGGTCATCTCCACACTCAGCAGAACAGAGCACCGTTATTGATTAGTGATGTCTGTTGTGGGCAGAGAGGGAGGCAGTATAACAGCGTCTCTTTTGCCATCACTGATCCAGGCCAAGCGCCCGGAGGTGCAGATGTGGAGACAAGCCAGAGAGGGATAGTGACTGGGCCAGGGCCAAGGACTAGAACCCGGGCTTCCTAGGTCCCTTGCCTGGCACCCTTTCTTACCCCATGTCCTCCTCTCCACAGGAAATGTCAGAGATTTCCTGACAGGAAATCTGGCTGCTCTCCAGAGTTCCACAGCATGGAGGCCTGGGTGCCGGTGGAACTCCAGATCCCAGTTTAGCCCCATTCCCTGGACAGATCAGGGCCCCCACAAGGAAGCCTGGAGTTCAGAGGAGCGGATGCAGACTCAGCTCCCTTTCAGGGACCCAGGCACAGGCTCCCTCCCCAAAGTCCCGGAGAACCCGGTGGGTGGTGGTGGTGGTGGGTTGGTGATGCGCAGTCCTCCAAGGAAGGGTGCAAGGGTGCCCCTGCTGCCTCCCACTGCCCTAGCTTCTCCTCCTGGAGTCTGATTTCCTTGGCCCTCTGAGCCTTAGAGTCTGGGCCCTGGTCCAATGCTGCTGTTGTCTGAGGAATGGTTTGGCGAGAACAGATGTTAGAACTTGTTTGTTGATTCTTGCCTGGCTAATAAATCATCACCAACAACCTCTTCCCACAGGGATCCAAGTACTCCGGGCTCCTTCTGTCTCAGACTCTCTCTCATTCTCTCTCTCTCTCTCTCTCTCTCTCTCTCTCTCTCATCATGGAGGGTAAGGGCTTGAATCGCCACTGCAGTGGGGGGAGCGGGTCTGGGGGTTCAGAGACACCCGGGCAGGGGTCACAGATCTGGGCATTGTGGGGTAAGGGTAATTACACCTGGGCTGCAGGGTAAGGGGCCACAGATTCTTCCCTGGCAGGGCTAGGCAGGCAGCTGGAGGCAGAGGGGTGGCTGTATCACCTGGGGGTCAGGCAGGAGCGGTTGGGGCCTGCACCTCATTCTCCACAGGACCGGGGGCCCCCAGCGGTGGTCCAGGGTCCCTCTGTGTCACCCCAGCCTCTTGGGCGTTGGCCTTGCCTCTGTCAGGACCTTACTTCCTCCCCTGACTCACCCCTGACCCTCTCATGAGGCTTCTTCACTCTCTGCTCAGACCCACCTCAGCACCTGCCTGTCGCCCTGTGTAAAGCTCCCCACTCTGGCTCCCACCCTCTGGAGGAGTCAGCCTGGGGTCTTCTTTTCCCTCAGATGGTGAGCTGCTGGAGGCAAGGCGGCATTCGCACCCCCCCTCCACCTGAGGCGCAAGGCTCTGGGTGCTCCTAGCGTCCCATGTGTGCAGCCGTCCTTATGCTGTTTCCTAGGAGAGCTTGGGCAGGACAGTCTGTGCCCATTGGGATCCCCTCCTCCTGCCAAGGAGGCCCCCACACCTGTCTGGTACACAGTGCGTCACCTGCCCCGCACCTGCCTGAGTCTGTCCGTAGACCCCTCCCTGAAGGGGTGCCGGCCACGGACACACACACCCCCCACCCCACCCCCTGCCCTGGGGCACCACCACCAGTCGGCCCAGCGCGGGCACCAGCCCCAGTGACTAGTGATTCCCCTCCTTTCCAGCTGTGGAATCAGCCTGAGTGCTTGCTGCTGAGTCAACAGTTGGGGTTCCATTCCCTTCTGTCTGCAGGTCTCCTAAGCAAGAGGAGAGATGGGGGGAGGAGAGGGGAGCAGATGGCTTTGCTAAGATCAGGGAGGCTGAAAGGACAAGAAACGTCTCATAGTAGACTGGGGCGGGGGTCCTGGCTGATTCTTGGCAGAGGGGGGTGCGCAGAACAAGGAGAGGCTTCCTGCAGAGCAAGAGCTAGAAATCAGTCAGAACGGCATTTCCTTACACTTGGGAGTATAATGGGATGGCAGGTGCAGGGAGGGGGCAGAAATGCCTAGTGACCCCCCTGGTGTTTCTGGAGGAGCAAAGTCTGTGAGGGGGGAGGGGGGGCAGGGGTCCTCCTCCCTCTGCAGCTCAGGCTAGAGGTCAACTCACCCAAGGGGGCATTAGCAAGAAGCCTGGGTGGTGGTGTGGAGCTGTGCTAGCCGGTGGGGCATGGCAGTGGCCCCTGCACCACAGGTCCATGGGTCCCCATAGGATGCCTCCATGTTTGCACACGGGGTGCCATACAGGTCAGAGGGGACATAGCGGCTAAGGGCTCAGGGAGGGAGGGCTGCTGGGGCTCCAGGAGACACTAAATCCTTTGTGGCTGCTCCTCCCCGCCCCTTCAGTCAAACAGGAGACTGAAGTCTAGAGAGGGGAGGGGACAGGGAGCTGGAGGCAGGCCCTGCTGCAAGCCCCACCCCAAAGCCCCAGGTGGGGGAGTTTCTCCTGCTCACCACAACCACCAGCGCCCATGCACTACCCTCCTACTCCACTCCCAAGCTGTGAGCTGCAGGGGGTGCCACGTACCCTGGATGAGAAGCTGAGGAACTGGTACAGACAAGGAGGGAGCAGTTTGTGCAGCAGGTGCTCCTCCTAGCCAGAGAGCAGGGCGCCACAGGGGAAGGGCATTTCCTGGAGCCAGAACAGCCTCTCACCCCAGCTGGGGCCTCCCTCCAGCACTGGGCAGCCCTGGCGGCTCTCTGCACTTTCCCTGGGGTCCTCTCTCCCCTGAACTGTCCCTTCATCCTGCACGCTCCCTCAGCCAACGCAGCACATGCTCCATTACAGCAGCACATGCTCCATGACATGCCCTGTAAGTCTGGCTCCAGGGCAGGGGGTGAATGGCAGTTAACACATGACCACATGACCTCATTTATCCTGGTGCACAGGGCATTGGCCCCCCACCCCCACCCCTGACCCGCTCCTGGAGGACCAGGAGCCAATCACTGCTGAGGCCACACCCTCCACCGCTCTACCAGCTGGAAGACATCTGTCCCTATCCAAAACACAGCTTGGCAAGGAAGAGGCCAACAAGGCTAGGTGCAGGCCCTGTGGCGCACTCCAGCGTCCTCGCAGCTTCCCCAGGTCCCACAGACCTTGAGCCATCCCCGCAAGGGCCTGCGGCTTCTTGCACAGCAAACAGCATACGGCCACAGTGAAGACCTTGAGGAGGCCCCTCTCCAGGGGCCAGGGCCTTGAGGGTGGCGGCTTATGAGACTTGCATCTCTGTGCAATTCCGAAGTCTGATTTTTAGGGGCCTCAACGTCTGGGCTCTGCTCCTAGACCGTGCCACCCTGCACCCTCGGGCCCAGGCCAGGCCTCTGGGGCCCCCGGACTATCTGGATCCACTGACCACAGCCTCTGCCGTTCCTCCCTCTGCACCTTGGCTGGTGCTGCCACTCCAGTTTAGCCAAGTATCACTCCTTGTTCCTTTTCTCTCCACCATCCTTTGTCTTCCCTTTGCTGTTTATCAGAACGTGAGGCTACCATCTCCAGGAAGCCTTCCAAAGAACTGTTCATTTCTAATTTGTATTTCTCTTGGTGACCAGGAAATTCCAACCACAAAATAAAATGTCCCTTTTGGTAGAACTAAAAAGTGGCTTTTCAAAAAATGGCAAAGGCTATTTGCAGAGCACAGATGTGGGGCGCCAGAGCCTCAGACAACTGGCCTGAGTCGTCCATGTCCACAAGACGCTGGGTCCCTCCGTGCCCACCATGTCCTGGCTCCCAGCCCAGAGCCCTGCTGGCTTCATCAGGATGCAGGCCCTCAAGTGACACTGGGGGCACAGCATGCCAAGAGGGCAGGGCTGCATCTGCAGCATCTGGGGCAGGAAACAAAGCTTGTGACACCTCTGGATCTGACCTGGGGCTCTGTTGAGCCCACGCCCCCACACACACACCACCCCAGGGGAGGTGACCTCAGGCCCTGCTCCCAGTGCCTCTGTGGACAGGGAAGCAGTGGTGGGTTGCTGCTCCTTCCTGAAGACTAGCTGGATGCACGGATTTGGACAGCCCCAGTGTCCCTGTGGGATGCAGAAGCCCTGTCTGGCTCGAACCCGAAGTAGGTCAGATTTCAGATAAGTGGGTGGTTTTCCTGTAAGTGACAAAAGCCTCCCATGTACTTAATAAGAAACAGACTCCTCAACTTACCTGGCACACAAGACTGGGGGCACAGTGAGACCCTCTCTCCTGCCGCCTCCCCCTCAGCCCCAGGCCCCCACACCACACCTTCCGATGGCCCCATGGCTGGAACCTCCAGTCCTTCCCCCCAGTGCTACACCCGAGAGAAGCCTGCAGTGACTGGAGGCGAGCTACTGTGTCTAGTCAGGGCTTCTCTCTCAACACCAAGCTTCTCTCTGCAGGGCTCCACCAGCATCCTTGTCCCAGAGTAGGAAGCCACTGCGGCCGAGCTGTCCAGGAGCCCCAGTGTCCTCGGCAACACACTGCAGTGGTGGTGTGCACAAGGACTGGCTGGTCTGGAACCGCAGGGGTGGCTCTCCCACCCCTACTGGAACCTCGGGCAAAGAGGGAGGGGCCCTGCCACCTGCCGCACTGCTGGTGGGCATCCCAGTGCTAAGCTGAGAACCGAAGCCCATGACTCTGCCACCTGCCTCCCCTGGCCACCTGCTCAACCCTCCCCTCCCTCTCTAGCATAAAGCTGCAGGCCCAGAAGTCTCCAATGAGACTGGTCTAGCCCCCCAAGCCCTACGCAAAAGTTTCCAGACAGTGAAGCGAAGACCATTGGTAATCAGTGTAAACGCGCATCCTCTTCAGGGGCAGATTCGCCACTCCTCCTGCTGGACTGAATTTGCTAAGGACTCTTGTGTCACAGAAAGCACCTCCTTGACTTCCTCTCGTCTTCAAACATACCTGAGATCAGCAATATTCCAGATTTGGGACCCCTGCCCCACACAAAGTTGTACATGGAATTTTTAGGGTCTTCAATGGCTGTGAGCCCAGTTTAGAAAGTAGGCACAGAGGATAAGGCAAAGCTATCACTGAGGCAGCTCATGACGTTTTGGAGGGTGCTCTGCACAAAGTTAACATCAGATCCAGGAACAAGAAAACAAGTGAGAAAGCTCCACAATGGAAAAATGAGACCATGCTAAGACAGAGGAAGGGGTTAGGGCAAGCAGTGTCTGTCAGACTGAATGTTTTATTTCAACAGACATCCCTGGTTTAAAAAAAAAAAAAAAGTGGAGGGAAGGGCTCCCCATTTCATCACACCCACCAGGGAGCAACAGTCCTGTTCAGGAACTCAGAGCCCCATCCGAAGCATCACTCGAGTCTTTGCTAGCTCCCAGACAGAGGAGCTGAATTTTCTAATTTCTGTTAAGAAAAATCTATCAAATGTGTTCATTCTCGCAGAGGCGAGGGCTGGCTCCTCAGGGACGGAGACCCTGGGCCTGGAGCAGCTGGGGTCCCAGAGGCAAAGCCAGGTGCCAGGCCACAGGAGGTGCCGGAGCGGTGGGGCCCAGAGCCCTAGAATCCATATTTGGCTTGGGTCTGCCGGCGGCTGAGCCTGTTTTCCGACCAGGTGTTCTTCAGTTCCAGCTCTCGCTCCTTAGCCTGTGGCAGGGGGACAGGCAGGGGTGAGCCGACTGGGGTGCCGAGGGGCCCCTCTCTCTGGCCCCCACGAGCTTCCCAGTCTAACCTCTTTCTTCCCTGGAGCAGTTAAGG